TCTCCAGTGGATAGCACTGTCTATGAAGCTGCTGCTCAAGGTCTATGGGGAGGAGATTTTGAGTTCCCTGGAGGCACACATCTGATCAGTAGTGTGTGTTACATATCTGTGTCTCCTACTGTTCCTCAACTGGATAAAGCAGTGACTGTAGAGCTAGTACATTGTGCTCATTTGAGCTCTGAATCTCAGAGTGAGTATCTGAGCTTTGTAGTAGCTGAGGTTCAACCTGGTAAACAGACCGGCCCTTTTAAGTTTGAGTTGTTACCAGGAGGATCATTCTCAGCTGAGTGTCAGACTGGTACTATAGAATTGAAGAGTTTCTCACTGGTTGCTATTGTGATGGGTACTGTAGCAGTTGGTGGTGTCAGTGTTGCTGCTGGTCTTGCTGCTCGTCTTGCTGCTGGAGCTGCTACTGCAGTGGCTGTTGGTGGTGTTGTTGGAGTAGCAGCAACTATAGGAAGTTTAGCATTGAGTGCTGCTTTTAAGAAAGGTTAGTGCAGTTATAATTGTATCATTTTTTATTTTAAACTGTACATTGTATTTCTAGTTCCTTCATTTCATTGCCGTGGTCTATTTTATAAGAATTGTTTGCCTGATAAAGTAGTAATGAGTCTGGCTGTACTCCAAGATTTACCTTCATCTAAAGAAGTACATCTTGTCTTCATATAATTACTTTATTGTTATTGGCTTTTCTGCAGCTTTTCCATGGAGATTCTACCATCCAGTCCCTCCTGGGTCAATTGCAAACGACCTTTCGTTTTACATTTTCCAAGGACAAAGAACGTCATTTAAAAGTGACCAATTTTCCTTCTAAGAATATAAAAGGATGGAGATTCACTCAATGCAATCCTCCTGTGGTAAGATAATGAGTTGAATATTATCTCAAACTTATCATTATTATCCTTAATCTTCTCTGATAGATCAGTGAGAGTCATGTTGTTGATTATAGTGCTAGTAAAGGTTCTGAGCCTCCATACATTCAAGTATCAGTAAAACCTGATCAGTCTGAACCTGTTGCTGATGAGATGTCCCATGCTTTATCTATTGATGGTATACAAACATCATCTGATGCATCTACTGTTCAATGGAATATTGAAGTATCTAAGAATGACTTATTATCAACCACTCCTTCATCAAGTACTGTAATTATTTATTTAATTACTTATTAGTTGTTCCATCAGTTGTTGCTGCCACGTCAACTGAAAGAGCACGAGCAGAGTTAGGTAAAGCTAAAATATTTATTTAATTTAACTTCATGTTCATCTATTAGTTATTGCACCAGTTATTCCTGAAGTTGCTTATAGAGTGGTGTCAGAATGTATTTCAGCTTTCAAACACTGTGGGCTTGGTCTTCACTTTTTAGCAGAGAAGTTATTAGAGAAGAAGATAATAAATAATAGACAAAAGAAGAAAGCCACTGATGAATGCAGTAGATGTACAACTGATGAGAGAATGGATCAGCTACTTGACATTATTAAAGACTCTGTACAACAAGAGGGAAAGGTTTTTGAGTATATTTTAGAAATACTCAAAGATGAAGATACCATACTAGCTAACAAACTGTATGATGATATGATTAATAAATATGAACAATATAAGTGATAGCTTTTGTATTTGTCAAGTATTTAATTATAATGTGCCTTTTTATTTTTGAAAATTATTAAATCAAAGCCACCCATTTTTTGATGTACATAAGCTGTGTAAAAGTTTGAGGTGATTTTTAAAAAAATATTCGAGTTATGGCCATTAAAATGAGCCAATTTCAGAAAAATCGCTCTAAAATCACTGATTTCATCAACTTGACTGATACTACCATTAATTAAGACCTTGAAACATAAGACAAGAAGTTGAAGAATCTGGTAAGTATTGTCTACTGTATTCAAGTGTCTTAGTGTAACACCATTGATACCCAGTAGTATTATAAGGATAAGGATTAT